ATCAATGGTCAGTGTCTCAGTCAGCACTGTTTTATGTGCAGGTGAGAAGTACGAACTTACTGACCATTGCCCAGCTGGTGCTAGTCTTTGAGGGAGGGTGTCTCTATGCCGTTTTGTATTGTTACTTTGTCTGGAAGTAGGAATATAATGCAAAGGTCATTGTAGGAGCAGAACCTCACTAGCGATTGCCAGTTCTTGTTGATTTTATTAAAACCAGAAATCAAAGTAATGATCTCACTATGACATTAAAGTCACCATGGAAGACAATCTTTTTAATGGCATTTTGTTTTTTTGTCACCTGGTTCAACCGTTTTCTGCTAGAAGTTCCTGACCCCACTCCATGCTTTTTGTTTACCTCTGTACTCTTTCCTTATCAGAAAAAGGTATAGTTTTTTCTCCTTGGACATGCCTGAGTCAGCTAGGTGCTTCTCTTGCATCAGTGTCCTGGGATTTTCAGATGGGCCTGTTGCCATGGTGTCGGCATTTCATCTCAGTTTAAGAGCTGTTTTCCTGTTTTATTATTATTATTTTCATTCTTACATTATGTGTCTTGCAGTCTATTTGGTTGAGAACTACCCAGTATTTCGCTGGATGGTAAACTGTTCAATCAGATCAAGAATTTCACCACCATCTGCTGCTTCCGTGTTTCTCACACACACGCATGCACGCCCGCACCCCGACGCACGCGCGCGCAACACACACACGCACGCACGCACGCACTACATAAACATATATGTGTTTATAAACAATATATATATATACAATATATATATATGTATTATGTGCGTGTGTGTGTGTGTTGTACATATATATGATACACACATAATGATAAACAATTATAATATATAATAATATATATATATTATATATATTATATATTATATATTATATATATGTTTTTTATTTATGTGTATTATACACACACACACACACACACACACACACACATATATATATATATATATATATATATATATATATATATATATATATATATATATATATATATATGTGTGTGTGTGTGTGGTGTGTGTGTGTGTGTGTGTGTGCGCGTGTGCGTTTGCCTCCTTGCTTATGATTATTTGCACCGAACCACACAAGGAATTGTTATCAAGAATCCATTTTAACTTCCGTGTGATGAGTTAAGCCGCTGTTTGCAGATGCTGTTCGTGACGTGGATGATCTCAGCAACGCTTCTCCAGGTGACGTCCGGGCAGGCAGCTTTCAGCCGAGCCCGGGAAATCCCTGCTCCCGTACCGCAGGCTGAGCGCAACCAGCCCCTCATCCCGGCCTACATCCAAAACGCCGATTACAGCGACCAGGTCAGTATCTCGCCGGTGCGTACCAAAGCCAGGGGAAGTATGCCCCGGTTATGACCCTGCCAGTACGTCCGACCCATCCCAACCCAAGGCAGACCCAGCCGTCCTAAGCAAAGCGAATATAAAATCCCGCCAAGCCAGCCACTCCGGTGTACAGGCCGGAATCTGGCGAACAGAAACGCAAGCCGTCTCACCGCCCCGCCGAGGCTCCAGCTCCCCTCCGTCGGGCTACACAAACGTGGCCAACATCGTCTTCGCTGGCCTGCCCGAGGGGGCCTTCGACGGCGCCGACCACGAGTACGCGACGTATCACGGCCACCCGAGGTAGGGTCTCTAAGCACCTGGAGCTTTTGACTTTTCTTCTAAAATAGTTTCAGTATCAGCAGTTTACGGGGAAAAAAATAGAATTTGCAAAAAAATGTGAATCTGCTGATAACTGTATATTTCAAAATAATCGGAAAAAGACAATGAGAGAATTTACACTTGCTTATATATGTACATATATAAATATGTATATATACATATTCATATATATATATACGCACATATAAATAATTAAGTATATATATGTATGTATGCATATATATATAGATATATACATACATGTGTATATGTACATATATGTATGTTTGTATATATATGTGTATATGTGTATATATATGTATATATTATATATATATGTATATATACTTTTTATTTTAATGTAGGCTCATTTTGACTTCATTTACTGCACTGTTAAATCTTCTTGGGTAGCGTAACCTAACGGTCTATAAGTTTGTGGGTCTGGGAATGAATTCATTCCAATGTTGGTGTACCAAATTTTATAATGGTCATAGAAACATTTTTAACCATCAATATTTTATTCAGTAAAAAATAAGGATGAACAGGTGGCATATCATTTTGTTAATTTTAGCGATAAACATAATTTAAACAAGGAATTTCTCAGCTAACTTAATTAATGTTTAAGGTTAGCTCTATAACCTCTCTTGTCCTATTATTATAAATCAATATAATTTTGATAAACAAAAAAATGTACATGATTTACAGAATCGAGACCCTGAAACCCAGTCTATCAGTGATCTTACAATGGTTTTACTAGGACATAAGCCAATCGTTCCCCTTCCTTTCATCTTTTAATTTTCCTCTCTTACATTTCACTCTGATAACTAATTTCCTTCTCAATCTATTCATTGATACCACTGGAACTGTCACCTGCGACTACTTTTGTTACTGTATCCACGGGCCATTAAAATAACTGAATAACTAATGGCAACAAAGCATTATGGCATGTTCTCGCTGCATTTTCTCAATCATTTCTATCTCTGTACACAGGAGGAAGGCAAGGACTCATCTCAGTTATCATAGATCAATACGAAGGGATTTAACAATTTGTTTAATACACTTATCAAGCATTGCAATCTTTAATATTGGGGTAAAACACGACTTTGAATACCAGAACTAAGCTTACCTGTACACAGGAGGAAGGCAAGGATTCGTCTGACGAGAAATTGTTACAATAACAAACTCATTCCCCCCAAATTAAAGGTTAATATTTAAACTCACAACAATTTATAATTATCATAATCTACTTTATTGGTTATAACACTGAAATTAAAGCCGCACCTTTTTAAATGTCGAATAAATAATGATCTCGACATATATATATATATATATATAATATATATAAATATATATATATGCATATATATATATAAATTTTATTTATATATATATATACATACATACGGAATATATATATATATATATATATATATATATATATATATATATATATCTACACATATGTATATGTATATATATATATATATATATATATATATATATATAATATGTATATTTGTATGTATGTATATTTGCATATATGCACATATATATGTATATATACACATACATATAAATTCATATATATGTATGTATATGTTTTATATATATGTGTACCTATACATATATGTGTATATATGCATATACATATATTTACACACACACACGCACGCACACATATATATGTGTGTGCGTGTGTGTATATATGTATGTATATGTATATTTGTATATATATACATATACGTATATATATGTGTGTGTGTTTGTATTTATGTATATATATACATACACACACACACACACATACACGCACACGCACACGCACACACACACACACACACACACACACACACACACACGCGCGCGCGCGCGCAAAATATATATTATATATATATATATGTATATGTGTATGTGTGTATGAACCTAGGATGGTTACATTGTCAATATTCATATTGTAATAAATTTCGTGTAAAGGTACGTAATATTTAAAAGGTTTGTTAACGTAATCTTGCGAAGCCTTTAATACGGTAGCTGTAATGAAAATTGGTTCTCGGACGAATTTTAGCTTTACGCCCTTGCATTCTATGTGTAATAGTGCTACTAGTAGTAATAATAGTAGTTGTAGAAACTCAAAAACCGCATTGATATCACTTTGTAGACGAATCTCGGCGATATTTTACTGATATATCGTTGCCAGGTTCATGCAAGGAATCTGTTGTTGGTTTAAGTTGCCTGTCTCATACTGTACAGGAAGAACTGACAACTTTTCATTCTGCTTCAACACTGCACACCCAGTTACCTTTCCCAGTGAATGTCCAAATTAAACGCGATTTCCTGTGAGGGTGCAAGGTATGGCTTAATGGTGGGCCAGAGGCAACAATAAATAAGTGCTATTAAAGTTGCGGCTCCATTACAGAATCAGTTCCCGCCCCTGGGCCACCATCGGCCGCACAACCACCCTTGCTGGTTCCATTACGATTCTCGCGCCCGAAATAAGCACGCCCAAGTGGAGGGAAACAGGTCGGCGGCGCGGATTAGACGCGCGGCGGCAACGAGTAGAGGCGTGTGTGGATCACGCCAAGGCCTACTAATGTACATTATATATAAATACATACATGACCTTGGATTACGTTGAGAACTCGCTTCTCTCTGTCTTGACCCGTCAAGGATAAGATATATATTCTAGCGATCTTACTAAGGCCCAGTTACATTTTAGAGTGGGATACATTTCGACTGCAGTCTGATAAAGTTATTGTTTGTGGGGTTAAGTGAGTGCTATGTGTGTGATTGTCTGTAAGAGTGAGTTCAGGATATGTAGTAGTGTGTGGAAAGGGTGACAGCACATGCCAAAGGGTGGTGTGAGTTATATGATTTAACTGTATTTATGTGTTGTTAGATTAATAAGAACAAGCATTATCAACATTTAAATATGGTTTATCAATACTACAACTTCAGCGACCCAGTAATGTAAACAGGACAAGCTTGAAGAAGAATACTATTAATTCTTAATAAAATCTTAGACTTTTCCAAGATTATGCGGTGCATGCGGGGCTCCCCTGGCTCTCCAGAGATGGATCTTGAGCACAATGGGGATAACCCGTGATCAGAGTCTGGTTCCACAGTAGTGGCGTACCCTCGTAGAACACCGCGTTTCTAGTGGAGTCCTCACTCGTGGGATTCCCGAATTTGAGTTCCCCTCCACTTGTCCTGAGCCTGTGAGACGGCTTGTCTGAAACTCCTCTCCTCCGCAATGGCTCTCAGTGGAATTACCGACCGACATATAACACACGGTTGGTAAACGAAAGACAAATTACTGAACCCAAATATTTTCCTTCCCAGGCACAAGGGTTTGGCTACGCAGTCGACGACAACGACAACGGCAACAAATTCACCCACAACGGCTATTCCGAAGGTGACACGACCAAAGGCGAGTACCGCGTCCTGCTACCCGACGGCCGCACGCAAATCGTCACCTACTCGTCAGACCCGGAGAGAGGCTACATGGCTCGAGTCACCTACGAAGGGACGGCGCGACCCTACACGCCCCCGCAGGCCGAGAAGTATGACTCCTTCCGCAACGAGCCTTGACTGGGACGCAGCGCCGGTCAGGGCTGCTTCTCTTCGATTCTTCGCTGGTCTTTAGCCTCTTGTTAATGTTGTGTATGTGCACACAAACAAACGCATACATATACACACGCACATATGTATTTGCACATTTATACATTTATATATGAGTATGTGTGTGTGTGTGTGTGTGTGTGTGTGTGTGTGTGTGTGTGTGTGTTGTGTGTGTGTGTGTGTGTGTGTGTGTGTGTGTGTGTGTGTGTGTGTGTGTGGTGTGTATGATGTTAGATATACATAAACACATACACACACCGTTTAAATTTTAAACTTAACTCCTCTGAAACTACTTTCTAATTTACTGTAACAACTAATTTCCTCCACGGATACTGAATTTAATGACCACTTGTTAACTAGTTCTGTCAAACTCGTTTTTAGCTCGTTTACTTTATTATAATTACTACGACGTCTGCATGCGTTGACGTGTGCAACCTTGAGTTCCTTTGGATGCCTCTACCCCCCCCCCCCCCCTCGACCTTTACAACAGGCTGACAACATGTTTGTACTGTGACTTCGGCGTGTAACCCTCGGTAGGGTATCGCTGTGTATAAATGTGATCATAGGTTTCCCTCTGTTTAGTGTGTCCATTGTCGAATGCACAATTAAAAGTTACAAGTCAGATATTTCAAAATAGTTTATGTATTCCATATTTATATAAAGTGGTGAATATAATGGTTAATGGTATATGAAACAAGTGTATAATATTTTGCCGAGGTATATTTCTCAGTTTGTTTCGAAGATTTAAGCGGAAACCGACCGTGCTAGTAAGAGAGACGACGGGAAGTAAGGGCTACGAATTCTAATCTTTTAACAATTATCAACATGATATGCAAACCCATATTAGAATCCCATGAATATGTAATTCATATCTGAAATGTTGAGTCACGGGGCATATACCCAGCAAGCATTGAATCTGCGGGCAAATAGCACAACACAAGATGATTGGCAAATGTCAATGCGGCCAAATGTATTCATTGTAAGTTATTTCTTTAAGAGACCAATTTACAAGCAATAACGTTTTACACCTACTAACTTAGCTTTACATTGCGTTAAAACGAGCATAAGATAAATATCTTACAATCTATCACATTTGTTTGAATATTCAGTGCTCACGCCTTATTTAGAGGGATCAGGTAGGTATTAACGGAGTGCAGTGTTATTGAAATCGCTCCTGCTGCTTTGCAAATCTTGTGTCAGTCACATGTCCAGTTTTTTCAAATTGCATAGTTTATAGGAAGCTTTNATATATATATATATATATAATATTATACTGGCATATTGCTCAAGATGCGAAAAAACCATTATTATATAACATGAAGAAAATAGTAATGGCATTCTTATGCTTGATTATACAGATTCAGTAACAATATAGTAAACGTAATATTATTGACGATAATCATGAAGGTATAGAAACAAGAACAACCAGATGGCAAATAATGACAGTATATATATATATATATATATAATATATATATATATAATATATATATATATAATATATAATATATATATATATATATATATATATAGTAATATATATATAATATATTATATATATAAAATATATATATATAGAGAGGAGAGACGAGAGATGAGAGAGAGAAGAGAGAGAGAGAGACGAGGTGAGAGAGAGAGAGAGATGAGAGATGAGAGAGAGAGAGAGGGGAGAGAGAGATGAGAGAGTGAGAGGAAAGAGAAGAGCAGGAGAGAGAGAGGAGGAGAGAGATGAGGAGATAAGTGATGAGAGAGAGGAGAGAGAGAGAGACGAGAGAAGAGAGAGAGAAAGAGAGAGGAGATGAAGAGAGAGGATGTTATGAGAGAGAGGAGCTGAGAGAGAGAGGAGACGGAGGGGAGATGAGACCGATGAAGAGAGTGAGACGAGAGAAGGAGCAGAAGAGAAGAGAGAGAAGAAGAAGATGGAGAGAGAAGAGACGAGAGGAGAGAGAGAGAGACGAGAGAGAGAGAGAAGAGAGAGACGAGAGAGAGAGAGAGAGAAGAGGAGAGAGAAAGAGAGAGAGACAGAGAGAGAGAGAGAGAGAGAGAGAAAGAGAAATATACATACGTACCTGAATTTCAAGAAAAAAATAAACGCACAAACAAGCGCACATGTACATAAAATGTGTGTGTGTGTGTGTGTGTGCATGAGAGAAAAGTTGATGCCATGATTGTTACTTTCGTACATGATAATAAAGAGAAATCAACTTCACTCCAGATAATTCACACGTGCGATTTTCACTTTTGCGATCTGCAAATTTATTTTTTGAAAGTTTACTACTTATTTCTTACAGTGCAGTCCTTCCCACACTTGCTATTTCAGTCTTACAGTCGGCTATTTTACATGATTCATTAAACCAGTCCTTTATCTTTTAAGATTATCACTTAAACTCTTAATTTTCGCCTATTATTGTGTTTTTAGATGAATAAAATACCCCAGGGGTGTCACGCTCATGCTCCGCCGGGTAATTGTGTCCCCTGGGGTGATCACAAGCGGCTCGCGGATAATTATAACCTTGTGGAATTGAGATCGCCATGGAGGAAAATAACGTAATTGGGTGCCATTAGTATCAAAATTCAAAATCGGATGATTATGATAAACTTTACGGACAGGTACATAAGAGCGGTTTTTGGTTACGTGATCTTGGGGAGCCAAGTATGAACCTTTGTTGGCCCTGAAGATGGTAAATGAAGGGAAATGTTGGCCCGCGAAGGATTCTGAATTTGACACCTCTGGTCTAATGCTATAGGGGTGAAGGAGAGAGAGAAAGAGGGATATACGTGCAGGCAGATAGACAGGCAGACAGTATACTTACACACACACACACACACACACACACACACACACACACACACACACACACACACACACCACACACCACACACACACACACACACACACACACCACACAAACACCCACACACACACACACACACACACACCCAACACCCACACCCACCCACCCACCCACCACAACACACACACACACATATTCCTCGAATATATACATAAATATAGGAAAACGGAAAACAATAAATCAGACTGTAGATAGTTACCAGAGACCCAACAGGGGACTCTGGACTCTGTTGGGTCTCTGGTAACTATCTATTGGTAATATATATTGGTAACTCTGGTACACACACACACACACACACACACACACACGGACACACACGCACACACATATTCCTTGAATATACACACATCGAAAAACGGAAAACAATAAATCAGGTTGTAGATAGTTATCAGAGACCCAACAGAGTCCAGAGTCCCCATTATCCGGACCAGCTAGTTAACAGAGACCCAACAGACCCCATTATCCGGACCAGCGAACAGGTTATCTATTCATCCGACGACCAAGGACACACGCGCGCCGAGTACTAGGTACATGATCGAGGTTCCTTCACCATCCCTTCCAATTATCTTCCCTTGCCTTCCTAGCTCCTCTCTTCCTTCTTTTTTCTTCTTCTATTCTTGATTCTATTCCCCTTTCTCCCTTCTCTTGTTTCCTCTATTTGTTTCCTCCTTCTCCTTTTCCTTATCTTTCTTCTTTATTTTCTCTTCTTTCTTCTTCCTTCCCTTCCTTTCTTTATTCCCGATCTTCCTTCTTTTTCTTCCTTTATTCTCCTTCCCTTTCCTTTTCCCTTCTCCTCCTTCCCCCCTCCCTCTTCCTCCCTTCCTTCCCCTTCCCCCTTTCTCCTTCCTCCTCCTTCCCCATTATATCTTCTTGTTTCCCTTTCTCCTCGCTGTCCACTTCCCTCCCTTTCCATCTCTCGTTCTCCTTTCCTTCGTTTGCCATTCCCCCTCCCTCTCCTCCCTCCTTTCCTCTCCATCCCTTCCATCTCCCCCTTCCTGGCCCTTCCCCTTCGTTTCCCATTCCCCTCCCCCCTCTCCCCTTTCTCCATCCCTGTTCCTTCCCTTCCCCTCCCCCTTCCCCACCCCATCTCCCCCCTATCCTCTTCCCTACGTTTCCCATTCCCCTCTCCCAAGCATCTTGTCCCCTTTCTCCATCCCTTCCTTTTCCATTCCCCTCCCCCCTTTTCCCCCCATTTCCTCCCTTCCCACTCCATTCCGCCCCCCCCTCCCCCTTCTCCATCCCCTTCCTTTCCCATCCCCCCCCTTCCCCCCATCCCCCCTCATTTCCCCCTCCCCCCTTCCCCCCCTTTTTCCCACCCCATCTCCCCCTTCCCACCATACCCCCCTCCTCCTTCTCCATCCCCTCCTTTCCCTCTCCCCCAACCCCCCCTCCTTTCCCACCCCTCCCTTCCTTCCCCCAACTCCCCTCCCTTTCACTCCCCATCTCCCCTCCCCCCTTCCCATCCCCCCTTCCCACCCAAACCTCCCCCCTCTCCCCATCTCCCCCCCCCCCAAGGACACGTAGGAAGGCTCCCCCTCCGCCGGATGTCGGAGGATCAGGATTATGTCTTTTGCGCGTGTCCTTGGCGTCTCTCCAGGATCTTTGCTCTTCCTGTCCTCTTGCGCTTCCTCCGAGTCCTCCTTGCCTTGCGTTCTCTTTCTTCCTTCCTTCCTTTTGCCTCTCTCTCCTTCTCTTTTCTTTCGTTTCCTTCACTTTCTTTTGCTTTTCTCTTCTTCCTCTTCCTCTCTTTCTTCCTTCCTTTGCCTCTTTCTCCTTCTTCCTTTCTCTCCTTCTCCTCTTTCTTTCTTTCCTCCTTTCTTTGCCTCTTTCTTCTCTTCTCTTTTCTTTCTCCTTTTCTCTTTCTTCCTTCCTTTTCCTTTTGCCTCTTTTCTCTTCTCTTTCTCTTTCGTTTCCTTCACTTTCTTTTCTTCCTTTTCTCCTTTCTCTTTTTCGTTTCCTTCTCTTTCTTTCTGTTTTCCTTCACATTCTTCTCCTCTTTCTTCTATTTCCTCCTTCTTCTCTTTCGTCTGTTTCCTTCACCTTCTTCTTCTCTTTCTTCTATTTCCGTCAGTTCCTTCTCCTTCTCTTTCTTTTACTTCCTTTCAACCTTCTTTTCTTTTCCTTTTTTCTACTTTTTTTTTCCTCTATTTCTTAAGCCTTCCTTTACTTTCTTCACTTCCTTCTCTTCTTTGTTTTTTTTTCTTAACCTTTCCTTCTCAATTTCCTTCACCTTTCTTCTTTCTTCTCTACTTCAGTTTTCCCCCCTCATTTTTCTTTTTTTCTCCTTCTCCTTCCTTTTCACC